CCTGCTGAAAAAGGTTGGAGACCCCTGATCTATACTGTGCCCTCTCCCAGAATAACTTCCAGCAGTGGAAATTTTCTACCACTAAAAATGAACATTTGTACACAGCTCCTGTGTAATGTAAGATAGTTTCACAGTGGGAGGGGAAAAAAGCACATTTAATGTTAATGACTGCTTTTCACGTCCACTGTTTCAAGAATAGTTGCACCGAAAGGGTGTGATTTTTGAAGGCAGAATGTCACTGGCATCCTAGGAGATTGTTTATACCAGTATTATTTTTCCTTATTCACTGTTACTTCAGGTAAGATAAGTTACTTCTTGTTACATGTTTCAATCATTGATTTTCTTTTGATTAAGGTAGAAGACGACTACCTGTTTGATAAAGGAGAAATTAATTTTTGGGTGGAGAAGCTGACTAGCGTCAGACAACTCAGCAAACATCTCTTATTGCTCATATCAGAGACTCATGTCAATTCACCAGATCAAGAACTCCAGCGACTGGCAAGACTAGCATCAGAACAAGCCCGGCTTGTTACTCGGCTTCTTAAAAAGTTGCCTCCAACTCCAGAATTTTCCAAAACAGTGGAATTCACGAGATTAACCATTCAGAAGGAAAGACTATCCGTCTCCTTTGAGATATTAAACTTGCTTCAACTCCAAGGTGTTGCTTGCAACAAAGATAATGACCAAGAAAAATGAATTAACGACAGTTTATCCCAGTGCTGTTTGCACAGTTTTTACTACTTTGTAAACAAAGAATTCTTTCAAGGTTGGGGAGGAGGGGGTACGTTTGTTTTATGACAGTAATAAATCTTGTGAGGAACTTTTTAATAGTACGTGCTAAAACACATTTTTCATCTGAGTCCATTGAATCTTTGTCACATTTTATTAAAATGCATTTATTAATTTAATTCAGAACAGCATGGTTTATTGCAGCTACTGTAGGAAGCAGAGCAGCTACACTTAATATTTTCCATTCAACCAGGTGCAGGCCACCTGCAGATCTGCTGTATTTTACCCCACAATCTATTCCTTCTGTATACTTGACTTTGTTTTTCCTTGTCAACATGTAGCATAGCTTAGCATGTTCAAAAATTAACCTACCTTTTTTTAATTTTTGAAAAAGTTTTCCTTAAAAAAAAAAATACTGGCTGCTTTTGTTTGCCTGTACAAGCTTTTAATCAGGATTTTTATCTTTATTCCAATTTTAACCGTAGGCAGCCACAGTACCAGGTTGTGTTGCTCTTAAGTGTTTTCTTGTTTTGTGGCTAAAAAAGGCATCATTTAGACATTTAAGTGCCTAACTGTTCCTGTAATATGCTGTCATGGGTGACTGAGGAACTTTCCAGAATGAAGAGCAAAAACAAGGAGTTCATCTCATCTAGCACCTGAGGATGTCATGTGTACTCACTCACTCTGTAGCCCACTCCACAAGTAGTGTTATAAAATGAAGAATAGGGATAGCAGGCCCATGCAAACTAGGGTAAATCTGATAGCAATCTCCTGATGATGTGCGGTGTAATGTTATGGTGACATTATTATTGATCTTTGGAGACTTCTTGCGAACCTCTGTAACAACATGTGCTGTCTCTGACAAAAGATCTCAAGCTCTTTTATTTTTTGAACAATTTCATTTTTAGAAATAAACACAGTTCAATTTGTATTTGATGCATTTGTCTTTCCTTGCTATTGTATATAGATAACAGCGTATTAAAATAAACATGCAAGTGAAAAGATGCAATGCATCCCTTAAGCAAGGTTATGACTTTACATATTACCAGGTCATAGCATCCTACTGCCAAAGCAAAAGCTTAAGTTACTCGAGGGATGTATTTGGTAGCCATGTTGGTCTGAGACAAAAAGAAATGCAAAACTCTAGAACTCCTGGTTCAAAGATGATGCCTTTTATCATCTCTCTATTACTATTACCCTGTTACTCTATTACATGAGGCTAATGTCAAAGTATTGGAGCAAGAGTCGCGGGTTTATCATCAGATAATGACTGTTTGCACTTTCATCCTGCCAGTGTATTAATGCATGCTATTTGTAAATCTTACTGAAAAGCAATCACTTATCATATACTGTATCAGAAATCAGTGAATGAACCACAAGATTTTCAGAAAGGAAAAAGTAATACCGGTCGCAACCCAGTAGGTGGCACTATAACACAGCTTTCTATCATTACACTAGGCAAGTGTGCCGTTTCACATTACTTTTCTCTTTAATGCATAGCTTAATCTTCATGTAAGCCTAAGGGCCAATTCAATTAGTGTAAGATGAATTGCTCTAGCTTGTGTTAGCTGTATCCTTATTAATTTTTCATTTTAAATAAGAATCAAAATTACACTTTGATTTTTATCTGCTGTAAAACAAGTTGCTAAACTGAACTGCGGTATTAGATTAAGTCACAATTAAACATGCTTTTATTTATGAGCTAAATATGAAAAAGAATAGTTTAACATAAATGCTTGCTATTGCATATATTTTAAGCCAAAAATGGAGCTTTCAAAGTAGAATATTCTGTTCTATTTTGCAGGCTTTTATCAGAAACATTTTCTTCACATTGTGGTTTCATGATTCAACATGTCTCACTCATGCAAGTAATCCTCAGTAGTAAAAGGACATAAGTTTTCAATGGCACAAAGAAAACTGCGTCTAAAATGAAAAAATAATTCACAGATAATTTTACTCTTTGCTAAAAAACAAATCAGGATTCAAATAGTTATAAAAATCATTAGGATTCATGAAAGGGTTTCTTTTTGCTCTTTGGGAAAACAGCACTTTTTTATTCAAAGCTGTTTCAAAGTATTTCAAGCATTCAAGAACTGTAAAGCTAGCTGCTGTCACATTACTGCACCTTTCCACCTTCTCAGACACCTCAGATAGCTACTGATTTTTGTCGCTGGGTAATGAAATATTGGAAACACATCCCCTTGAGTTCAAAATGTATGTAAACTTCTCTGGGCCTTAGTAGTGTGAGCGGTGTAAAAACGAGTATGACACACTTGAAAGTCATCACCAAGAAAGTGGTTTTACTCAGTTCAGGGAAAAGGAACAGGTTCAGTACTGACACCCTGGCATGCAAGGGTGCAACAGGTCCCTCCCAACATTTCTCTCAAAACTGACTTGTGAAGCTTTATGGGCATAGCCTACGAAATAACTTGGAAATGCAATCTTTCTCATGGTTTCTCACAGAGCCTGACTATAAACGCTGCAGTATCCCACAGGATTAGAGAGCAAATAACTTCATCTCCCCTTGCGCGCAGTTCAGATCAAGCTGCCAGTGCCTGGAGTTACTGTATAACTACTCAACCCGAAACCTTTAAACCTTAAACAGCCCTGGTGGGAGTGTTGCAGGCAGCAGCTTATCTATCTGCCCTACGTGTCATCTGCCTGGCTTCAGTAGCCTGGTGGTTGCTGCGAGCCTGCTCGCACCTCCCTCCTGCCCCGAGTATCTTGGCCCTTTCCTTAGACTGGGAACCAGGGGGCAGGCTCTGCGGCCCGGGCGGTGTTTTACAATCTTAAAAGGAGGTTTCGCTTTTTGAATCGGGGGATGGGCCTACGAAGCCTGCCTGCTTGCGGAGCCAAGCGGCGGCGGGAGAGGCTCGGAGTGGGCACAGGCGAGGTTAATCACGCTGGCGGCTCGCTCCCAGCGGAGGCGCTGTGACCGCACCAGGCGCTCGGCTCTCCGGGGCAGCAGCCCGAAGCCGAGGGGCCGGGCGAGGCGCTGCCCTGGCCCTGCCCTTGGCGCGGCGGCGGGGAGGAGGAGCT